CTTCTATTCAAGTCTAAAGTAGTGTCAGATTTGAATGAAGAATGACCCAAATCCCTTCATTCACAGTTACCAAGCAATCATTGCATTGGTTGCGTGGCTTTTTCTATTATTATATTTCGCAAATGGGAAAATCGGTCTTTCTATCTCATGAATCAACGTCTCAAAATGTTTTTACATGTCATGTGAGAAAAAACGATTGCAATAGTAATTGTAAGCTTTCACGGATCATAAATTATGTGTGTGATAGTTGGGGGAAAGTGTTAAAAAAGTCCTAAACATTTTGCATTGGTGCCAATTGAGTCCTAAACCTTTTTTTGGTGCCAATTCAGTCCTAAACCTTTTGCATTGGTACCAATTCAGTCCTAAACCTTTTATATTGATGTCAATTGAGTCCTAAACCTTTTTTTGGTGCTAATTCAGTCCTAAACCTTTTGCTTTGATGCTACATTAGTCCTAAACCTTTTGCATTTGTGCCAACTTAGTCCTTCCGGTTAATTTAGCTCGAAAATATTTAGGACTAAATTGGCACAAATGCAAAAGGTTTATGATTGAATTGACACCAAAAAAAGGTTTAAGACTTTTTTGGCACAAATGCAAAAGGTTTAAAACTGTATTGGCACCAAAAAATGGTTTAGGACTCAATTGGCACCAAAGCAAAAGGTTTAGTACTTAATTGGCACAAAAAAAAAGTTGAGGATTAAATTGGCACAAATACAAAAGGTTTAGAACTTTTTTGACACTTTTGCCGTGAGTTGTGTGATGGCTATTTTATTTGTGTGTTGTATACATACTGTATACGTAGGTTCCGAGTTGCCTATTACAATTTTATTGTATTATCATTACTGTGCTTCCGTACCCAACAACAAAGAATAATAAATGAAATCTACTTTCAAAACGAATTTCATTCCAAGTTTACCTCCGGAGGATTTTCCAACGGAACCATTAACGACTTCATTTTTTTTTTTTTAGTTAAGGATTTGAAGAAATGGTATAATTTGCAATGCACATTGGTCAAAGTTGGGATTCTCCCACGGATTACCTGATTTGTAATTATACCAAACCGACATGGTGGAGGCCGTCAAATGACGTTTTCTTTGGCCAAAATAGAGTGGAAAAAGAATGGTAGAAAATCTTCATTACAAAGCTTTATCTCTTGACAGTGGCTTTACTATTACTTCAATCCGAACCTGGTTTGCTCTTTCGTTCCAACACCTGATTTCCTTCGGACTCAATGATTCTCCCTTCCCATGTCTTCTTGCTTTGAGGTTAACTAGCTATTTAGTGTGTTGTGCGAATTCACTACTAAAACCGATAGAGATAATTCAAGAATTTCATCATTGATAAATTTTTTATTTTTATTTCTACTGACTACTTCTCATATATCCTAGATTAATCGTCTTGATTTCTAGCTTCTTAATGATGTATTGTGATCTTTTCGAGGCATTGGGCATTCAATAATTCAATTATGTGATTCATTGATGACACAGATCATTCTCAATAACTTTAGCCTTCCCACATTTTTAATCAACATAGAACTTGACTTGGAGAAATCATCTCTTTTTCTCTTGGACTCTATATTTCAAATCAATTTTGACACCATGTGCATAATCTTTTTGATAGATAGTACTTTTTAGCAAATTTCAAAAGTAGAGATACAATTTCCAACTCGGTGCTATGTTATAAATTGAGAACAGGTACAAAAATTTCACCTATTGTACTATTTGACTCTGTTAATAGTAGAAATAATACAATGTCTTTCTTTTTCACCGATTTTGAAGAAGGACGCGTTGATGGTTGCAATTACAATGCTTCATTCTCCGTGAGATAAGCGATCACTAGGAGATCTCAGCTACTCCAATGAGACAACAGAGTTTCGTTCCTGAAGCGGTTAGCTTAAAGTGGCGTGCTCTACCAATCTGTGCCTTCCCCTGCATTTCTCAATAGAAACACAACTTTTTGTGCTTTCATTTCTTCTTCAGTACCCTATTTTAATGTAACCCAAGCAGCCACTTTTATGTTTCATTTTATAAAAAAAAAAAAAGAAGAAGAAGAAGAAGAAAGAAGAAGAATGGTCTCTCAAATTATAAAGCAAACTAACTAATAAAAAGAATAACTGACAAACACATTCTGTATGTACACTATCCAGATTGGAGGTAGAATGAGACACGGAGTGTTGTGACCCCGTGTGGCAACTTGGAAGAAGAGAAGCCACCGTCGACTCACAATCGACAGAAGTACTACTGAAACTCTATCAAATTTGCCGTCGACTCACAATTGGTTTGGTTCAATTTGGCTTTTCAGTTTTCTTTTTCGAAATATTTAAAAAAAGGTTTAGTTAAAAAGGAGATAGATTGTGTAAATTGCAATATTAAGAAGAGATGCTATTTTCCATTTACCGAACCGGAATAAAAAAACGGTTTTTTTTTTAATTATCCAAACCGAAACCCTAATTGAACTAAAAATATACGAAAATTCGGTTCAGCGCGGTTCAATTCAAATCAGTTTCAGTTCCGGTTTGGTTTTGACAACCCTAGCTGTAATTAGGGCATTGGAAAGCTTCATAATGTGAGCCCAGAGTGTTTCCCAATATAGAGAAAAAGTGAGAGTTGGCTTGTCCGTTGAGCGTGTATTTGTATGAGCTTATTTGTTATGGGTGTTCTTGTGGGTTACATGAGAAAAGCAATTGTAACAGTGGCAAGGGTGAGCTTTTGCTATTCATAAATAATGTGTGCAATAGTTTGTGCGACAATTATTTTATTAATATGTTATGTTCATACCTCATTTTTCATATATGTATGTCCCAAATCGCCTACTATAATTTTCTCATGTCACCACCACCATGCTTATGTACCTAGAAACATTGAATTATAAGTGATATATACTTTTCCATTGAATTTAACTCCAACGAAACCTTTAACGACCTCATTTTATAACTTGCAATGCTCATTACTCAATCCCAACGCTTCATTGACTATAAGTTAAGCCATTTCCGAAACCTTTTCGGCCCATGGGCGAGAGCATTGCCCGACTCACCCTCTGCTTTCTATCCAATTTAACTATTCAAGAAGGGAAAATGTCACGAGGTTTGGGCATCGAGCTGGGTTTTTCGTCTTGAGCTCCGTCGCACGATCATTTTGAGGAAAGCGCTGTGTGAGATTTTTATGGGGGGTAATGACATCTATCTCCTCAACAAAGCCGAGTGCCCAATATGCATTTATTGTCAAGATGGAATGTTAGAAACTCTACAAGCACTTGATAAGTTGTCATTCGGATAGCAATGTCCATATCCCACACGTGCTGGTTGATTTCCGAGCAAATGAATCCATTACAACAATTACAAAGCTTCATCCTCGATGGGTTAAAGCCATTTTCTAGAAAGTCTCATGCTACTCCAACGATATTGCTTCAAGCGGTTAGCTCCAAGTGGCGTGCTCTGCAAATCTCTCTACCTTCCCCTGCATCTAATGAAGGAAAGAGTAGCTTCCAATGCCACTTTCTACTCCCTCTTTCGTGTTCTTTTTTTTACTTTTTTACGTAATTTTCTGAAAATATATACTTCTTATGTACATGGCAACGATTGGCAAAAGAAAAAAGATTATTGTGCTTATGAATGAGGAGGTGCTAATGAAAGGTACCGTTGGGTACATATGGCTGATTGAATCGGATTAAGATCTTATGGGAAAACTATTAACCAGTAGGTATTGTTGGTCTTAGTTACACGAGATTAATTGCAATCTTTATATGCATGTTTATAAATATCATAAAGTACAATTTAAGAGCCAAAATCATGACATTTATGAAAAATTCACAAGTGACATAACCAAATTTGAGGAAAATTACTGTCCTTAAAAAAAAAAAAAAGAAGAAGAAGAGAAGTTACTAAGTTACTAAGTTCAAGAAAAATAGACATTCATTGATCAGCTCTCAAACCTTCCGAGAGTGAAGTAAAGCACCTGTTTTCATTACTATGACGGACAGCTCCCATTCATAAAGCACAACATAATGCAATCGGCTTAAAGAATGTCCTTGTTGCATCCATATCCCAAATATTTGGTTTGGATCTCATACCACTGCCGAAATTGCAGTGAAGCTCTTGGTCATTTAAAGTATCAGGGGCATGAGAAATTGTCACCACCAGATGAAGAAGGGACAGAATGATGCAAAATCGATACATAAAGACACTAACTGATGGCATGAACATGTGAGATGGATATAGGCATGACGAAAAACAAGAAAGAGCACAACATGATTCCTACTAGATTTCCACCGGACAGGATGTTACTTTTGACAGGATCAAGGCCATGAATCCATCATCAGATTGAGCAATCTATGCATTAGCTTCTCAATTGACAAACAAAGTTGCATATAGATCCATGGAAATTCATCATCTCAACATCGGTGTCCTGGATTTGAGAAAAGTAAAAATGTTATGATGGTGCCTCCGGTGGCTTATTAATCCATGATAGAATAAGTGGATATAAGCTACTAAAAATGCAATCAAAACCACATAGACATGAGTAGTTGCCATGATCAATCAATTATTAGAAGTGTTATTCCACATTGGTTAAATAAAAGGTTTCAACGGGGGTTATATATATTGAGTCTACCTCTAACTAATACTTTAAGCTTTTGGGCAGAACTTTTGCTGACAAGCAATGAAGTTTTTCTTTTTTTATTATGCATGAATGAATTGAAAAAAAAAAAAACACATAATAAACATCCTCTGTTCTAGGAAATGAACCTTAATAGAACTTGCAGAAAGGTAATACTCTCTGTTTGCATAAGAACATATTCATGTGATGTCAAGGATGAAGAGTCTTTCTGTGTGACTGATGATGTATAATGACATGCAATGTACTTCGAACTCATTCTTATCTATTTTCATACGCACCAGGATCACAAGCCAGATGATGCTGAAGCATTGCAGTCACTTAGTCAACCAATTTCCCCAAGATTACTTCAAATAAGACAGGAAACAATAAGACATCGACACAACCCCATACCAAACTGAAATTACTAATGTGAAGTAGGTATTCTTAACTGAATATGATACTTTACCTGCTATATTTACAATTACTAGGAAACACGGATGATCTCCAGAACCCGATCTCTGTGGTTCTGCTGCCATGCAAATATTCTTCATAATTCTACATGGGGCATATGTGTTCTCCATCATTCTGGTATTCTCTTTGCGTGAATGATAATGAAAGAACATGATTTCTCTCATCGGACATGCATCAAACTGTTGTGAAAATGATAATAAAAGAACATGACTAGTATCTTTCAAGTCAATTTGCACTCCTAATATTGCCAATGAGCTATTCCAATGTCAAGATTACAATCATAGTTGGAAGTCCTCGCTTCTGATGCAGTACCAATTAAGCTCTACACAGAATTAAAAATCAAGTGCACAGCTCCTCCCACTTCATTTTGGTGCCATTAACAGCTGGGTAATACCCGAGCTCTGAAGATCTTTTGTCCCTGCCATCGGCCTAGCCAAAAATGGAGCACATTTCTGGCTGAAACACAGTTATTGCAGGAGTGGCTTTCCAATTTTGTTCAATGGCAGCTGTAACAAATCATTCTGATTTGAGTTCTAGTTCAAGAAAATATGCCAATAAGAGATCTAGATCAGCTCTCAACTATTAAAGGACTTAAGCAAATCACCTTTCTAGCCACCCATTGATTACTTGTCATGTTTATCCCAAAAACATGAAAGCAATACGGTTGATTTAATACTTCCTCCATACTTCTGGTTGGATCTCGCACCGTTATCCACAATATAGTGGAAATCCTCTGTTCTTTTTAAGCCTATGAGGTGTAGACATTGTCAACACCAAACAATGACCGAACTGAAGTAAAAAATTGTGCATCATGTTAAGGTACGAAATTGCAAGATGATAATTAAAGGCATGAAAAAAAACAAGGAAAGAGTGGCTTCATGATTTGTACCAAGGTTTCGACGGCTGATGATAATACTTTCAGCCTGATCAAGGCCATGTATCTGCCTTCAGAGAGAGCAATCTTCACATTGGCATATTAAACTATAAAATAAAGTTTGATACAGATTCATGGAGATTCATCATCTTGACATTAGTGCCCTGGCTTTGAGAAAATGCAGAACACGTTTTATGGTACCTTCACTGCCCACTGCCATGACCAAGTAACGAGTTAATAAAATGCAATCAAGATCACATATGCATGAAGAGTTTCGAGAATCCATCGGATAGTGAATTTCTCTACATCATAGAAGTTGGAGAGAAGTATTACATTATTTACACAAGCACAGATTGATACCACGTCGAGAATGAAGAATCTCGTACTATTTGACCGAAGACATCAAATATCCTTTTGCAGGCATTCTAACCTTTTTTATTCATATCATGATCACAAGCCAAATAAAACTGAAGCATTACAATTACTTTGCTCAAACAACTTCCTCCGGTTGCTGGAATTAAGACAGGAAAATAATAACATATCAAAGAAAAGCCCCGTCCAAACTGAAAATACTAATGGAAGCAGGTAATCTCCATAGAAAACAGTATTATACCTGCTATATTTTTTGTTCAGTAGGAGATGTTAGCGATCTCCAAAATCAGATCTTTTTCTTTCTCTCTTCTCTCCATTTTCTTTCTACACGAGCTCTCAGTTTGAGAGGGAGCCGAGCGTCTATTTTTGCAGGTGAATTGGGGAGAGATTCCACGATGGAACAATGCAGCACCAGCGATCAAGGGCACGGCTCAATCGTGGACCAACCTTCTTGCCCAACATGAGAAAAGAAAAATGTTGAAAAGCTAAGGAACAGACAATAAGTTGGCCAAAGCAGTCTCCACGCCTGCATCAAACATAACCCATCCCTGCTGGAGACGCAATCCTCAAATTCATAGTTGAACTGGCCAACGACCAGATATTTCTCAAGCACGACTCAACTCAACGTCATTCTTCAACGCCTTTTTGTGAACTGAAATCGTCAGGTAACTTAAAAGAAAAGCCACTTACTGTCAGATTCAGTCAGCTCTGTACTCTGAATTTCGCATTGGTGCGGGCAACAGTCGGCTAGCATAGAGTTTGTAACCTTCAAAAAGCAAGACCATCACATTATAGAGGATCCATATAGAGGATGACAGAATGAAAACCAACCATGGAAATAGAAGCAAATTCAATGGTGTTTCTGTTTCAACATTAGAAATCAAAAGGTATTTCCTGACTTTGTCAGCAAGACAATAATTATTTTGCTATAATTGGCCAAAAAATGCAAAGTTTTATGTTTTGTGAAGGTTTGAAGCACTGAGCATTGAACAAAAGACACATTGCAAATGCTAAAAACAATAGTATATATGAAAGTTAAAAAGCAAAAGTTCTTCCAAACACACCACAATGTCAGAGCCCGATAAGGAGCAATTCCGTTCAACTAGAAAGCTAGCACAGAAGAAGTAAGGAAAAAATGAACAAGCCATATCACCATCACAACAATTCAGACACTAGCGTCCTTTTCCATGTGAAATTAGAAGCCTTCAACACCATTTCACTTCGGTATTAGCTAAACTGGGATGATTGAGGACATCCTTGGAGAATCTTATGAGAAGGAATTTCCACATACTCATGGAGAAAATGCTACTTTGGATCATAGTTACAAACAAAGTCTGGTCATTTCTTCATCAGCTTTCCTCATCAGCCTCATCAGCTTCCACATCGGATTCCTCATCAACCTCGTTGGCTTCCTCATCAAACTCGTAGTTGAATTCCTCATCGGATGGGTGGTAAAAAGTCTGGTACTTTCTTGAGTGACTCGCACCCATACCTTTCAAAGCGCTTTAGGGATTTACTAGGGCAGCGAATTTCAACTAAGCTTTTGCAATTCCCAACATCCAACTCCTTCAGATGCTCCGACTTTGAAAGGTCCAGTACTTGAATGTGCTTGCGCCCAGAGATATTCAACACTTCCAGTGATCCCAATTTTTCAAGGCCTCCTATCGCATGGAGATGATCTGCCTTTACATCAAAGTAGCCGAGGTTATAAAACGATGACCTGCATAGGCGCAACCTTCTTAGGGATTTCAAAGCTTCCAATCCATCCAATTCCTTCAGCCCACAGCATTCCACGAGCCGTAATTCCGACAAAAATTCCAAATCGGAAAGCTTTGGCAACCTTTCCAATTTGGGACAATAGCAAACGATAAGCCTCTGTATGCAGGAGGGAAGCTCTGGGATGCTTTGAAGAGACTTGCAAGAATCAAGGCGGAGATGCTTTAGATGCTTGAGGTGAGAGAGCGATGGCAGCTCATTGCTCCGACAGGTGAGCCACAGGGATGATAAGCTAACAGGAGGTTTTGGGAGTGACTGAAGCTTATGACAGTGAAGTAAATTGAGGTGCTCGAGAGAAGAAAGCTCACTGATATTTTCTGGCAAGCGAGAAATTTCTGTTTGACCTAAACGAAGGGTCTTTAGAGAAGACAATCCACCTTTGTCATCATGAATTTCTCCTTCCAGCTGAAAGCAGCCGTCGGCATCGAACTCTTGGAGGCTCTGCAATTTTCCAATAGAGCTCGGTAACCTTTTTATCCAACTCCAAGAAATTCTTAGAATTTTCAATTTGTTCAATTCTCCAATAGATTCGGGTAATTCTTCAATCCTAGTACATGACAAGTCCAGCTCAACCAACTCTCCCAACTTCCCAATTGAAGAATGGATTTGTTGCAACGCCTCGCAATTTTCTAACGACAAACTTACAAGGTGCTTGACATCTTCAATCGAAGGGTGGATTTCCATCAAACAATCACAGTCTTTTAGGATTAGCATCTCTAAATTTTTAAACGTATAGAGATTAGGGGTGCTCTTCAATCCTAAGCACTCTGAAAGATTGAGAACTTTCAACCTCTCCATCTACAAGAAAGAAACATGTTCCAAGATTAGTTGTTAGAAAATAGAATGATTTACCATCAAATGCAACAAAAGAGAAAGCCTTTTTCATCTTTACCTTAATTGAACTCCATCCTCTCCAATTTTCACTAATACGGTTTCCACTATGTGATAAATCAAGTATGACCAATTTCTTCAAATGAACGTTGGTTGCCTCGAAAGAGTCAAGACAACTCTCCCACTTTAGCCATCTTAATTCAGAAAGTGATTCTTTGAAATCTCCAGCAAAACCCACGGCCCTCAAATGAAGGAACTTCAGGTTAGGCATTCTTTTGAAACTCTCTTGCTTCATGAACTCTTTGGAGCCCCTTTCGTCCAGACGTAGTGCCTCAATATTTTCATTTTTCTCCTACAAAAAATAAAATAAAATTGAGGATTGTAAATACCATCCAACCTCCTTTTGTTAGTATACTCTGCATGTTATTGTGGCCGATGCATTTTGTCTACACTTGTAGGAAAAAAGAAATATATGTGATCTTTTATTATTAGGTGATCATGTAATATGTCAATTTTCACTCTTATGTCCCAAGTTTTGATGCTTTAAGTGAAATTCCTATATGAAGTTAGTCAAGTTTTCTTATAAATTTTGAAATTAAATTTTGTTAAATCCGTAGTATTGACAACTAACTAAATATGGTGTCCCTTTGACATATGTGAGAACTGTTACACGTTTCAAAAAAAAAAAAGTACCTAATCAAACTTATGCATTCATAAAGCATGACAACTCATTCCCTTCTTGATCATAAAATATTTTTGGTTTTGGCATATGGCTGGATGGAAACGAGAATTTGGTCTATTGAAATGGAGACTTCGTTTTTGGATATTCAAGCTGTAAGCTCAACAACTAATCCTTAGACGAGGGAGAAATTGTCCAATCAATTCTAAACTTTTCAATTTTGCCGATTTCGTCTTAAAATAGTTGCGTGAAATTCCAATGTAGTTATTGCGGCTAATTTTTGCAGGAAATTGCTGATGTGGCGATGTACCATGTAGGCCAACCGTAAATGATCGTGGCGAAAATTGATCGGAAAGACTACATTGGAATTTTGCACAAAAGTTTAGCACTAATTAGCAAAATTGATAAGTTAATGATTGAATGGACATCCGCACAACAAATTTAGGACTGATTAAGTAATTTTCCCCTAAGATGAGTGCACTACTCAATTAGTCATCATTGAATTTGCCCCAATCAGTCATAAAATTTGGCCCGATCTTAAGAATTTGTTCGTGCATTTTGCATTCACCAATTCATACAAAAATATATGAATTAATAAATAAAGGCTAGCGATTATTATCGGTTACCTCTTTTTGCATTCTCTCATTTATTTTTTTCTCCTCAAGTTATCTTATTTGATATGTTAATTATAATGTTTTTCTTCGCTAATATCTAACACTAGATTTTTTGTCTCTTCTTTGTCTGTGCGCGCGCGTAAGGACACAATTATACTTACCAAGAAGGCTTGTTCATTACAAAATAGAGGTGGATATCATATTACACTAAAGACAAATAAAACGAGAAGAACACAATTTCTTTCACCTTTCACTGCTCCGTCACTTACTTCCTACAATCATTTAATTTCTTAATTTCGATCTTTGCTTTTCAGTTTTTTTATTGGAAATTACTTGTATGAATATGTACAAAATCATATGCCCGTTGTTATTTAGTTTCTTATGTCGTAATTTATTGTTGTTTGATTTTGCACATCATTTGTTAATGTTGAATTATGTGCTCAAAATACCTATGACTAGATCCATGCATAGCACCAGTATAAACACAAGAATATATTATGAAAGCTGGGTAGAAATAGAATAGCCTTGTGACGTCGCATCACGTTT